GTAATATCCAGTTCAGCCCTAGAGATGCTAATTATTCTTTAAGAATGTGGTAATGAGATGAAAGATACTGTGTACCAGCAGGCAGAATAGATCATATTTCATATCATTCATTTAAATCACGGCATTCATTTTCATTACAAGATAGAGTTAGCGATAGAAACGGAGGCAAACTATGGGGAAAGTAAAGTTTAGCAAGTACGGACAATAAGCCACACAATAGTTGGCTCTTGAAGTGCTGATCTCATTTACTTGCAGCCAGACTTGTTGAAAGATGGCTATCAGAAGAAAAACAAAAATCCCCTCTGTGGTGCAATATTAATGTTAATAGCCGCTAGCAAGGAAAAAACATAAAGTTCAAGTTAAAGGCCATAAAAGTTAATTCTTTTGAATGCAACATAAAGCCAGGGTGAGGGGGTGAGCTATGATTTCCACTTTTGTATTACTATTCCTCAACATTCATTTACTGAATAGCCATCATGTCAAAATATAAAGGAAGAAGCAGACCTTGTCCAGAAAGCTTGCAATATGTGTAACCAAGGGCCAGGGGATGAATCTCCCAGGCAAGAGTAAGTTGGCATCTTACCGTTAATGAATGTTTTCATGTATTGATTTGCATTCCATCTTCCTTCTCCTCTGTTTACTTCAGTCACAGATTAGAAGGCAGGCTGGGAAAAGTAAGAACTTTTAGAGAAGATGGCTGATTTGTTCCATAGGAAAGCGCACATAGAAAGGAGTAGGAAAAAGTAGCATGGCCTATTGTCACAACCTCTGAGAAGAGGAAAAAAGCAGGAAAGTACACAGGTAAACCCTGAGATTTGGTGCTTAAGAGCATGGTGGAATCCAAAGAATGTGTATTTTTATGCTGCATCTGCCACTTGAATGAGCGAGTAAACAAATTTAAGGATTTTGGTTTAAGTTCCACAAGTTGATGTATACAAATGTTAGAATATCTAAGTCTTTTAAGAAATTAGGGCATTCGTCACATACTCTCAAAGTGAAAAGAGCCAGTAGGATTTCATGGACGAAGCATAGACTTTTAAATGAAACATATGAAGAAATGAATTAACCTTTTTTTCTCATAGAAAAGATGAAAGGAGGGGCACCTGGCTTGTTCAATAGAGCATGTGACTCTCGATCTCAGGATTGTGAGTTCAAGCCCCATGTTGGGCGTGGAGCCTACTGAAAAAAAAAAGATGAAAGGAGATATAATTTGTACAATATCTGGCACAGAGCAGATTATAATCCTAAAAGGAATAGAAAAAGATTTGAAAATTGTATGAATTAATATAATCTTAAATGCTTGATTCTTGAGGGAAATTTTATATTATACCTCCTTTGATATCACTGTGGCTAAGAACACCCTTTCCAGATACTTTGGGAATGAAGAAAATTTTTACATTGAACTATAAAAATTTATAATATGTGCTTAGATGAAAGAGTAATCTACCTGATGAGAGATATTTAGCCTATCATGTAAGAAGAAAAGTAGCAGGGTAGAGAAGAGACTTGATTGTTAAGGAATGTGTATGAGCCCCTATATTAGTTAGCTTTTGCTGTGTAACAAATTATCCCAAAACTTAGTGGCATAAAACAACAACCATTTACTAAAGTTCACAGTTCTGTGGGTCAACAGTTTCGGCTGAGCTGGGCTGGTAGTTCTTTTGATCTTGGCTGGTCTCACTGATGCTTCTGTGATAAGCTGCTAAGTCAGCGAGGGTCTGGCTACTCTACGATGACCTCAGCTGGAATGGCTTGGACTGCTAGTGGTGGTGTTCCATCATTCAGGATCTAGTTGAGGCTTCATCCAAGAGATATGAGGGGTTCCAAGAGAGCGAGGAGAAGTGTGCAAATCCTCTTGGAATTGGCATACTTTCACTTCCACTGACAGCCCTAATAGCACCAGTTCATATTCAAGGTGGGGGAGATAGATTCTGCTTCTTAGTGGGAGGCAAAGTCATATTGCAAAGGGCGTGCATATAGGTCGTTGTGGCCATTTTTGCAAACTGCTATAGCAGGGAAGTGAGTTCTAGTAGATTTTATGATGAGACAAAAGAATTTGAGAAGGAATGACAAGAGACTGATTCCCAAACCTAACCATTTTCTGAACAGAGGTGGTTAGAAAGGTCTGTAAGGGTGATAGGGAGCTTGAGAGGAGCTGTGTTTGCAAAATATACTGAAGAGAGGAGCAAGCAGGGATCTAAATTTTTCAGAGAGATTATATATTAGAGTTATTCCACAGAAAGAAGAAAATTATTAAATTTTATTTTATTTTCTTTTATTTTTTTAAAGATTTTATTTATTTATTTGACAGAGAGATAGGGAGCACAAGTAGGCAGAGCTGCAGGCAGAGGGAGAGGGAGAAGCAGGCTCTCCGCCGAGCAGGGAGCCCGACTTGGGACTCGATCCCAGGACCCTGGGATCATGACCTGAGCCGAAGGCAGACGCTTAACTGACTGAGCCACCCAGGCGCCCTGAAAATTATTAAATTTTAAAGAAAAAAACCCAAATTATTTAGCTTTAACCTATAAAGTAGAGAAAAATACATCATTTAGCTTTAAAGTTTAAATTCGATGAAAATTAGTCAAGTGGACTGTATAAATCTTAAAAGAGAGAGAGAGAGAGAGAGAAAAGGGCCACATAAAGAAAAAGAAATTCAGATTCTGTTGAGAAACATAATTATAATTTTTTTCCCCTGTAGAAATGTAGTGCTTTTGTTCAATAAGGCCTATTTTAGATTACCTACATGCAAGCAGGACTTTCTGAGAAGTCTGATCTTTTGTACTCGTAAACAGGATGGGATGTGTGGGAGGAGTAGAGTCTTGCAGCCCTACAAAGCACCTCCAGTTCCACAGTGTGGGAATACGCTTTACCCTTTTTCAGATTTTATACTCTTTACGTGCTCATAACTGATATTCAGTTGCTTCCTCTGTAGAGCAGTCATTTAGCAGCAACTCTCATTCTATTCCAGCTGATTGAGCAGGAAATGAAAATAAAAGGGACATTTTAAGTGCATGACCTTATTAAGGCCATATTTGTGGTCACCAGACTGTTAAAGGCAATAGAATCACACCACACCCAGCTCAGCTCAGGCCCTCTGATTACCTCTTGCCCCTTTTCTTGGTGCCTGCAGCAGTTTTGGGTCATTAGAGATGAGAGCTAGATCCTGGGTTGTTCCTGGCAAATGGGGCTAGGTAGAAATCTAAGGGACAGAGAGGACAAGAGCCACATTATAGCACTATTGTACAAAATTTGCTTTGGATATGAGATTTAGTAATGTGCTATTGGGGCACTAATTATATCTCTTTAAATAGACTTAAGAGATTGATTTTATGTGTGCACAAAAAGAGGAAGCCGTTGGGACAGCCGCATTCCAGAATTGTGATTCCCTTGCACCATGGCCAATAGTCTAATGCTGTTAAGGTCCTTTATAAAGGACGGGAGGGGTCAGCAAGTTTTGGCAGATAACCATAGGTGCTTGTTCACCCTGACCAGACAAGATAAATGTCCAGATGGAGGGCTTCCTTCAGGGTGCCAGAAGCAGCTAATTATAGATTTTTTTTTTCCCGGAGTGAAAGAAACTTCATCAACTGCTATTAGCTAATCCATATTCTTTTGGACAATGCCGATGAAGCTAATGACTGCAGTTCTGAGTCAATTCCAAGCGCCTAATACTTTCTAAGAAGTGAGATCAAACTGGGCCAGTGCCTCCAACAAGCTATATAGACCTTCCTCAGTGGCAGTCCATCCAAACACTGGCCTTTCCTGAAGATGGGTGCTTTGTGCTTCCTGTGCTTGAAAGCACATACATGGACGATATCTAATTGTGACATAGCCTCTGTGGTTGAAATTAAACTTTTAAAAAGTAATATAACCACAGTATAGAAGATAATGAAATTATAAAGTTTAGAAATTGCTTATGTTTTGGCATAGCCATTATCTTTTTTTTTTTTGGTATATTTAGGTAGAACATTTCCACATATGATTTTTTTATAATAATTGTGACTGGAACATAGGTATCAAGTGTCACAAACATCTCTTAATGTTTTCACATAGATGTTACATGGTCTTCCGAGCTAATTTCATTGAGTGAATGTAAAAAGAGGTAATCAGTCTTTTATGCTGGATCTGTAGATCACTTCCATTTTTTTCTTGTTTATAAAGAATGATATAGACACATCTTTGTGCTTACAGACTTCCTTCTGGAATTTTGATTATTTGCCTGGCAGATTCCCAAAGTAGGGCCTCTGTGACAAAGAGAACATACATCTTTATGATTCAACATATATTGGCACATTGCTTTTCCAATTTACAGGTTTTCTAAATTCTGTACTTGATATTTATCTTCTACTCAGGCATCCTGTGTAGTAAGGAATATGACAGCAGACTAAAAGCAATTATGCCTGTTAGTGACTCTCTCCGGCTAGTCTCCATTTACCATGACTTCTGTGCTTTGTACTCAGTTTCTACCTTGGTTTGGCTTAAAAAACAACACAACACAACACAGCGCAACACAAAACAAAAGTTCCCTCTTGCCTTCTAGAAATGTGGCTTTTGCTTAGTTTCTCAGACCTGGTTGCTTTTCTAGTTCGGCATCTCTTGGGATCTAAGGATACCCCACTCTAGCCCCTGTTCTTAGAGATCCCGTCCATATTCTGTTCATCATTGGAGGTGAAGTGGAGGAGGGATTTGGTCTCCAGGAATGCACATGGGTGGTGGTCTCTGAATCATGCAGAGAAGTGGAAACCACTATCCCTCTTAACATTTTAATGATTTTATAGGTGATATTGTATTTTTATTTGTCACACTGATCTTCACTCTTTTGACTTATTTGACCATGAAACAAATATTTATTAACATTTTATACGGTATATTATTTTTTCAGAGGATTTACTATTATTAGAGATAGTGTTAAGTAATGAAATTCAGCCAAGTAAATTTGAAGATCTAATTGGCTTTATTAAAGATTGATGAATTGAGCAGCATCCCATCTAGCAAGTAGAGAGGCACGCCACCGAGGAGTTGTATAGAATGGAAAGTTTTTATAGATGGAGGGTGGGGGCAAGAAAATTATTAGCAAAAGAAAAGGATTGTTCCAGACCATGCTGTTCACTAGGGGGAAAAGTAACTGTCTTATCATGCAGATTACCTCATCTTTCTTTGGGGGATGGAGAGGACCCAGGTAACAGACTCATTGGTGCTGATGGAAAAAAAAAAAATCCTGACTGACTGGTTAAGGCCAAACTTCTTGGGGAGGCTGAAACTGCAGTTAGATTGGGTATTGAGTCCAGGTTTAGGAACTCAGTCTAAATGATACCATTTGGGGCCTGTGGATTTATTTTTTTTAGCAATATTTTTAACTGAGTGATTAGACTTAGTCCCTGGGACTTAATAATAATTTTGGGTACATATACTGAAATCAGTTCAATTCAATTCCTTTATTTCGGTAGCCCTTCATTTAGAGCTGTCCTGTTATGTTCTAAGCACTGTGCCAGAAACTGTTGATAAAGATAGATAATACCTCATCTTTAATAGCCCATGATCTAGCCGTGCAGACTGAATAAAGCTGTAATATGATACATTAAGGGCCTCAGTGAGAATTACATTTTTTTTCTTAGTGCTTTTTTTCTTATGCTATATATTCCCATAGGAATACAGTTGTTGGAGTAATTAATTTTCTCGTGAGGAGAATAGAAGTCACTAATAATGCCTAGGAAGTGGAAGGATTCAAAGTGACTGGTGTATCAAATGGTGTGTCTGGTTTGAGGAACAGTAATACTCTGGAGTAGCTAAAGAACTCTGGAGTTGAGGTTGCTGCAGTGGGCAAGGGATAAATCAGTAAGGACCTTGAATGATGGCTGAAGATGTTCAGTTCAGTTCTGTGGGTGATGAGTCATCCAATGGTGTTAAGTTGGAGATTGATTTGATCAGATTTGTTATTTAAAAGATAACTCTCCAAATTTAGGAAAGCCGATGAGGCAGGAAACATAGTGAGGAGGTGACCATTGAGATATTTAGGTGACAGTGGAAATGAGAGAAGAGAACAGATCTATAAGATGCTTCATCATCCATATTGATAGGAACTGTTGGCGACTGGACATGGGCAATAAGGGAAGTATCAAGATAACTCCAAGCTTCTTAGTTTGGACCACCAAGTGTCTAGACAGTGATATGTTAATCAATAATGGAAATTCAAGAGAGGAAATATATTTTGGAGGTGGGAAGTAGAAAACAAGTTTGGTTTTGGACATTGTATTGGTTACTACTGATTGCCTAGTCAACATTTATTTCCTACCTTCTTTCTTAGGAGAAGATAACCCTTATTTGTGTTCTAAGGATATATCATGGTTCATCTAACTCAACAGTTCTCAGCCAGGGGTGATTTTGCCCCTGCAGGGGACATTTGGCAATGTCTGGAGACATTTTCAGTTGTCGCAAGTGGGGAATGCTACTGACACATGGTAGGTGGAGGCCAGGAATGCTGCTGAACTTTCTCCAATGCATGGAACAGCCCCTTAGAGCACAGAATTATCTGACCCTGAATGTCAATAGTTCCAAGGTTTAGAAACCTTGTTAATATTGTAATCTCATTCCATTTGCCAGTGATTGGTTTAGGAATAAGCATGGACCTCATCCAACGGGACTTCTATATAGTTTTTCTCTTAAGGAGGTGAAACACTTCTCTTTATGGATGATCTTATGTTTGAATGTAACACCTAGGATTGTTGCATCCACCAGCTACCAGCCTGAGGATGAAGCCCACATGCAGAAGAGGGCAGAGCCAAGAAAAATGCGAAAAAGAAGATCCAGAGTCTTGATGGACATCTAACAGTGCCTGTAGCCTGCTCTATCTCTTGTTCCATGGGGCTGTAAATTTACTTATAGTCTAAGATAGAATAAGTAGAGGTTTCCTATTACTTGTAACTAAAAGCATCCTGATACCACCATGTTGAATTGCTTATGGATAACTCAAAATGGTAGTAATTAAAGTGTTGAAAACATGATATTGGAGTTTTGCAAAAGGTTAAGTCTGGAGTTAGAGCAGGGAGAGTTCAAATAGAGGGGATAGGTCCAGTCATGGAACTGATGACCTAAACCAAGCAGGTCTTAGAGAGCAAGAAAAAGACAATGAGAGTAGAATCTTAGAACACAGCTCTTAAATTGTGAGTCTGAGAAGAGGAAGATTAGTAAGACCTGTTGAAAGGAGTCAGAAAAGCTATGGAAGCACTGAAACTAGTGAGAGATGTGGTATGATAGAGACAACCTGCTGTCTACTGAGAAGTTGTGCTTTTTTGTTCCATGCCATGGAATCATCACTGGGATGTAGGTGCTCAACTAGAAACTATATTTCCCAGATCCCCGCTAACCCTTAGAAAGTCGAATGGAAGAGAATTTGTTCTTTAAATTTTGGACGAGTTTTGAGCACATATCCCAAGCATAAGGGAAAAAAAGGCTCTGGAGTGGAAGAGAAACATTGATAAAAAGAAGGTGTGAGTGATAGATGGCTTTGGAAAAGATGTGGAGAGCTGCGTTTGAATTCACTGAAGGATGGTATAGGTTTGGAAAAGAAGCAACATTAACATAGTTTGTCTACTACAGTGGGGCAAATGGAAACAATATAAATGAAGAAAAGGGCAGTTGAAGGAGTTCTTGGCTAAAGTCTTTTTTCCCAGACAATTGTCTGCTGAGAAGGAGGCAGAAGCTGGGAGTATAGTGCTTGCAGTGAGTGATAAAGGTTTGGAATACCTACTTTTCGGCAATGGAAAGGGAAGCAGAGGAGAAATAAATTAATGGATTGCTGAGCAGCTGGAGTTGAATCTCATAAATTTGTGATGGCTCCAATTAGCATATTTATGTGATTCCCCAGGCAATACTCAATGACCTTTGAAAGAAAATAGATAGTTATGCTAATCTAAGATTGGGGATTGGTAAGAGGAGTGGAATAGAAGGTAAACTGGCAAAGGAATGATTGAAAATGCTGGTAGAATTGTTGAAATTATTGAACATCACATTGTCAATAGAAACACTTCCAGATAAATCTGCAACTTAGGGTGTTGAAGAAAACATTAGGAATGATGAATGGTTAGAATGGATCATTTAGCCATCAGTCTTTCAGGGATGAGGCTTATGGGGTGGGTGGGGGGCTTGAACACTTAAAAATAAGAGTGGGATAAAGTGTAATTGAAAGTGAACAGATCACTTCTTGGATGTCCTCTGTTTCACAAATTAACAACATTTTGAAACATAATTCCGTTTCAAAATTCACTCAGTTTATAGGTAAAGAGCTTCAGAGATGCCAAGGGCTGATACCCAAGGCAAGGTAGCTTTTAATGACTAGACTGATATTATAACCTGGATATCTGTTCTCAGCTAAAAGGAGCAGTTCTGGAGTATATGAAAGAAAGATACATGACAAGGCCTATATGAAAAATACAAGAAAGGGAATAAGTAAGCTTCTTCAATTAAACGAATATTACAAATTCCTCATTTGCCTTAGGGAATTATTTCAAAAATATATATATTTTTAATCTGCCATATTATAGAAGTTCTGGTAGGCTAGTCACATCTATACAGGCTGGCTCCCATGGCCTGGGAGGGGCGTGCTTTGCAGGGAATCTGGATGAAAGCCAGGTGAGGCATTTGTTTAGGAGTCAAGTAACAGGGTGGCAAAAAGTCACTGGAGGGAAACAAAAGGGGATTTGATGTAACTAATTGATTGTGAATGTAGCCCGAAGCATGCGAATTGGGGGGAACTTCACAGTCCACTGGCTAAGTATGTGCTTTCTAATCAAGAGGTTAGTGTTCTTGTGAGTCCTGTTTCTCTTTTGAATGGGGCTTATTCATTGGGGGAATTATTGGGAACATGTGTTTATTAGGCTGGGATGGTGAAAGCTTTAACATTGTTGAAAGAGGTCAGCTGTGTTACTCAACTGCTGCTGTAGACTAGAGTAATTGACAATGGCGCTGATCGCAGTGGACTGTATAGAGTAGTTGTGTTTTTCCCTTCAGGTTTTATTGACTGTTCTATATGTTGAAATGTAATGCTGCGAAGTCTGGGTTTGTTTTTATACGTGAACCAAATCATGGCTCAGAGCATACGGTTTATTAGGTGATAAGCCGTTGGTATTTCCTGTTTGTATTGATTAGTAGGTCTAGTTTATTGTTTTCATATTTAAATTCCTTGTAAGCTCACTCTAGTTTTCTTCTTAGAGTTGTTTATGAACCTTTAAATTGTCTGTCTTGTGTATTTAATAGCTGGAGAGCAGAGCTGTCTTTCTGCATTCTGATTAGTTTGTTTTTAGGGGCCATGTGCTTTCTTCACTCTTTGGGTGGAACGTTGGTTGCTGTCATTGACTTTTCCCCTCCGTACACGGGCAAGTGATGAACATGCCCTTCAGGTGGCGATTAACTTTCAGTATCAATAATTGTATAGGTTTTTTTTCTTTTTCTTTTTTCAGTCTTCACTCAATGAAAATAGCCATACAGTAATGTGGAGTAAATACAAGAAAATAAAAATCTATTTTTTAGCAACTATATTCTCATGTCTTTCTTTTTATGTAATTAAAAAAAAAAAATCTCCCTAAGGATGAAGCTTGATTCATTAGGCCTCTGCTGGAGGTAAATTGTTTTGAAAGCTTGGTAAAATAAATAGGGTTATTATGGAAAAAATATATAAGCTTTTACCATCAACAGATGCTGTACTTATTCTAAAATAACAGAAAGCATGAGTCCATAAAAATTGCATAATATAAATGGCACGTATTCTGGTTGCCTGTTTAGGATGCTTGCTTTTCTTTTATCTCCTTCCTGGCAGAATAGTCACTTTTTATAAGACTACAGATTTACTTTCAATAATTGCTGCTTTTATTTGGTGAACTCCACTTTTTGTATTACTGTTAAGAATAGGGTCTGCATTGCCTTTGAAAGTATGGTTTGCTCAGAGCCAATTAAAAATCAGTGCAAGAGAGAGTACAGTCATGGAACATGTCTTACTCTTTTGACTTACTCTTAAAGTATAAAACTGAAATCAGTAGATCAATACAGGAAAATACTTATTATTACAGTCTTAATTTGCATAATTTCCAATACTTGGAAGCTGCTGTAAGTTTCAGTGCTTTTTCCCATCCTTCATTTCTGCTTTTTCTGTTTGGCTGGTTGTCTGATAAATATAAGGACATAGAGAAGTGGGAATGAAGAGAAGAGTAGAGATGTGGATTTCTTGCTCTCTCTCCATCTCCCTCTGTTCAAAGACATTAATACAGAGCACTTCATCTTCTGAATCCTCTATCAGGCATTTACTGGTTGCATTCAATAACTCACTCTCCATAATCTTACAGTTGTGTTACAAAAGGTTCTGCAATTTCAGATGTTTGACACAATGTTAAAGTAGGATTTTTGGGATCCCACTATACACAATTCTGGTGCACCATGCCATTTCTTCACATCTTATTCATGTTAGATGCAGGCAGCTTCATCACCTTCTGATATGTGATGTGGTCTTGATGAATTATCCTTGCCTTCACCTTATCTGAGGTTTATTTATCATGTCTTTAACTGCTCTTCCAGGACTGGATATACTGAGTCTTCAGTAAGCTTTTCTTTGACCTGATAGTGGGGGGCGGGGGGTGGAGGAGGAGAAGTAAAATTTGAAAGGAACTGTGGCTGGGGATGATGATTGGTGGACCAATCTCTGTTTGCCTAAAGGCTATTGAGAACACAGAGGCTAGGGTTTCCTCTACCTCTTTGGGAACTTACTCATTCCTGTGGGTTTCCGATCCTTTCCCAGATTTAAGGTGAACTTCCGGAACCTTCACAGCACTCAAAGGTAATTAACCCTACATGTCCGCTTGCCTTGATTTGCCCCAGGGGCTCTTATTCCTTTCAGTCAGTGAAGGAGAAACTCTGGGTTTTGGTCACAGCCTGTTAGTTCACAGAGGTGTGGGGACTTCCATAGGGACCCTCTGTGTGTTCCTCTCTAAAGGGTCTCCCATTCCTTCAGAAAATCATCTTATCTTCCCTTTTGTTTTTCCTCCTGGCAGATCCCTCTTTATTGCTGGAGATTTTGTGGTTGGTTTTCATAGTTCTGTTTTCTTACCCATCTTTCTTTCTAGGCAGGAAAAAATGAGTTGGTCGAACTCTGTGGAAATTTCTGAGCCTGTGACACAATGTGGGGTAGGGAGTCCTTATTTGTGTGTGTGAGGGGGTTCCAGATCCTTTTCCTGGGCTGTCCATTTATCTCCTCAGCTGCTTCTTTTATTCATTTATTTTAGATTTAAAATAGTATAATTTACATGCAGTAAAATGTACAGATTTTAACTATATGGTTTGATGAATTTGACAAATGGATGTATGTTGCCATGTAATCCATAATGCAATCAAGACAGAGAACATTTCCATTTCCCTAGAATGTTCCCGTAATTACGCCCCTTCTCTGCCATTCCTCCCACCGTACAGGCAACCATTTTTCTTTCTTTCTTTTTTTTTTTAAAGATTTTATTTTTTATTTATTTGCGAGAGAGAGAATGAGAGACAGAGAGCATGAGAGGGAGGAGGGTCAGAGGGAGAAGCAGACTCCCCGCCGAGCAGGGAGCCCGATGCGGGACTCGATCCCGGGACTCCAGGATCATGACCTGAGCCGAAGGCAGTTGCTTAACCAACTGAGCCACCCAGGCGCCCCCGCAACCATTTTTTCTAATAACTGTCATTACGGATTAGGTTTGCATATAAGTGGAATCATAGAGTATAAACTCATTTGTGTCTGACTTCTTTCACTCAGTTCAATGTTTTGTATATATCAATTCTTTTTCATTATTAAGTAATATTCAATTGTGTGAATATACCACAATTTGTTTATCCATTATTCTGTTGATGGACATTTAAATTGCTTGTTGTTTTTGGCTATTATAAATATTCCTACACAAGTCCTTTTGTGGACATCTGTTTTCATTTCTTTTGAATAAATATCCGGAATTGCTTGGTCATAGAATCAATATATGTTACTCAG